AGATTTCAATATTTACGCATAAGTTCTCTACAACATTCCAACAATTGCATGTAAGCTTGATTAACAGATTGGGAAAAATTTACAACAAATGGCTCTGTTCGCAACATTTAAACATTGCAATTAAAATTGGTTAAAAAATTGGAAAAGTTGGATTTGGATAAATGATTCATCACTTTGGGTATCGAAATATTTATTTTATCAATTTTGTGTAGCGAATCACTTATCTGAGAAATATTCTGATTCTAATTAAAACAACTCATAAGATTTTTTCGATTTCGCTGACAAAATGTAAAGTAGGATATCTAATCCTGTTATAAAAGAGAATGCAAGGAATAGTGTAGACCGGATTTTGGAGATGATTTTCGAGATTATCTATCCCAGAAATCATTATCAAAATACACAATTCAACATTTTTGAACTAAAATTGCGAACCGTCCCACTAAGAACTGGATTTCATTGGTTTCAAAATTTTGGTTGAACTTCATCATTCAGTGAATTTTTTCTTTCTGAAAATGAAAAATGAGCAGTGGGGAGCAACGTAGTCTAACGAAAAGAGAAAAACATACTGATTTGTAGACACAAAGAATTAGCATAGTTATACAACCAGGTAGTTTATAGTCTTAACGATATCAACGATTTTAAAAATACTCCGTTAAAGACTGTGTCAGTTTACATTGAGGTTTCGATGTGTGCTACGAAAAAAAATTTCCCCTTGTTTTCTTCCCTCTTGGTTTATCTCTGCCAAGTGATGTTCTATATGCTGGTAAAGATTTATCCTATAATTATTTTTCGGACACGTTTACCAACGCACATTTATCACTCCCCTTATGCATATAACTTGACTCCGGAGTTGGAATTCCCGTTCCAACATGTTCCAAAACTGTTATTTTCCAATTATATAGATGCACTCATTCGATAACAATGTGTCATCCAGATGCTTTCATTTGCTTCACTTTGTACTTACTCAGACCGTATAGACTTCTCGATAGAGCAACCAACTTCACTTTCTCTCTCCTTTATTCTTAACGTCCGTCGTGTTTTTTCCCTACCTCCCACCAATTTATCTCATGCTATTTTTCAGGACCACCAGAATTTAAAAAGAAATTTCGGCTTGAATCGCATTCCCTACAATTTTGTCACACAAAATTTTATTACGATCTGAAACACCAAGATTCTATAGCATCAAAAACAAAAACGACTTTCTGTGAATCATATAAATGGAATCTGAAGAAATTTTATACAAATCTTAATCGGAAAAAAAGTGTCCCATCACACCCCTTTCCGTTATAAATTGTGCTGGTCGCAGATAAACCTAACCCAACGAAAAAATAAATCGCTCCTATTTGAATTTTTCTATATTCCAGAATTGCGAGGATGATATCAGAATATTCGAAAAGGGCAGTGATTTCAAAGATGCGTATATTAAAAAAAGAACGTGGGAAACGCCGCTATAACTATTTACTCCAAAAAAAAGCATTACTACAAATGCTATAAACATTACAATGGATCTACCGAAAAGGTGGATACCATTACTTATAAATGGATCAGCATACATATGAGCAATTTTATTCGTCACCAACAAGATAAGGAAATCTTAAAATTATGACTTCCAGATTCTCAGGACTGCGATAATTCAGTTCAGCCTTGTTTAAAATGAGTTCAATAATATAACCTTAGAACATTATATTAATTTATACATGTTAATTTGAACAAAACTGTATTTACAAAAAAAACCTAAATTATATTTGCAGAAGACTGAACTCCTAGCAACAGAAGAAATAAGCCGTGTTCTTTTATAATTGCTCCTCCATTTGAATCAATTCTTTTATACCATCATACATTTGTTTGACTGCTTCATACTGCGTTAATCCGAGGCTTATCTAAATTTTAAAGTTTTTAATTGCAATGAAAAATATTTAAGGGAAGATTCTCAGCGGCTCATTAGATATCTTGACATATAAGGGCTTATACCTTACATAATTATTCGTAAAATGGATGATCTAACAAGATTGGCAAAAAAAAAAAGGAAAAAATAACTCATTTCGGCTGAAGTAAATCACAGATAAAAAAGTGCAAAATGAGCGCCTCATTGACGATGATAAATAAAAAAAATTAAAATATATGTATTTCATAAAGATAGGAAAATGATAAAAAAAACCTTGTTTGATATGAAATAGTATCCATTCGGCACGCCAGACGAATTAATGCTTGCGGAACTAACACGTAAATTCAGCTTTTCACATATTTCCTACAACAGAAGAACTGAAAATGGATATTTCTTCCATATTTTTACTCAGTTCATGAAATGAAAACTGGAACACGAAGAGTTATTTCCAACAAATCTTGATCAGTAACAATAGAGCTAAAGATTTCAAAACAGAAATAAGTTCTCACAATCAAAGCAATTTTTTCCGAAGAAAATAAAATATGTTGTAAGTATTAAGGTCACGAAAATGGCTTGAGATATCCAGAAATTGGAAGAAAACCATTATGACTGCAACTGCAAAATAACAGAAAATAAAAATGAAAAGGTATTTAAAAGGGAGACTCGCTTCTTGTGCAAGGAAAATAGGAATTTCTTTACCACGAAGTCGGATTTTTTGCTCAATTTCGGCAAAAATATTTCTGCTGAAGCATTTATTGCGGAACCAAGACTACTGGGGTTCGATGTTAACCAGCCAAGTCGAATATCGCGAGCGAACGTTAGCTTCCTTTCCAGTGCCTTGAAATAATCATAATTAAATAGACTTTTGAAACTGCAAATGCTGCAAAAACTCCAGGAAGCGGCAAATTATTGCCCCTTAAATTTTTGTAATGAAAGCATCATACTGTTTTAGTAATAGGCACTCTTTACCACTTTAAGTTGCCAACACGGGCTCAAATTAAGTTCTAGAAAAAGAAAATGATGGTGGTAATGTGAATTCTGCTACTCCATCTCTTTTTTCCTCCAACAAATGAAAATCACCTTCAAGCCTCGTATTAAACGAGCAAGTGCCTTGTCAACATCGCTTCCTTCTTCAACCGAGATCATGCTGATATGGTCTTCCTCGTTAACCCACACCAAGAAAGATTTGTCATTGTTGTGGAAGATTCCACGCCCCTAGAACCAATGAAGAAAAACATGGCATACAGATTCAAAATTATAACTCGTCAGAAGCCTAATTACTGGTTAATAAAACTAAGTGGTGACATTATCAAACACGATTGAATTTGACCTACAGTTGTGCTTTTGTGGACACATGCTTCATTGAATGATTTGATTGCATTAATGACAAAGGAAGACTGGACCCGGTTTTCTGATAACACATTTCAAAAAGAACCGAAGTAACACCTCTGGCCAGACATTGTAGGCATTTGCATGTTTCAATAAAGAACTGTTGTTGTTGAACAGGACACATTTCCTAAGGATATTCACGATCAAATAGCTGATACGCTCGTATAACCGTGTCATCCGGACATTTACTATATTAATTAATAAAGTGTTAATCAAACATGAGCAGAAGTTTTTTGACGACGCAAATTACATTCCTCGTTTTAGTGCTTTAACCCGAATGTAGTATAAAATAACAACCATTTGCTTAGGCTTAGGTTTTTCAGGTTT